ATCTAAAATAAACCCAAACCTAACCCAAAAATACTATCTCCCACACAAAAAAAACACCATTTTATTCTTAGCTATTAATTATTCAGACAACAGCAGATCTTGGCTAAGGCTCATCTACTCTCTAATACTTTCTTTGGTGACTGCAGGTATCAAAGAAATCGTGCAGTTTTACTACTGGCTGTACAAACTCAAGTCAGGAAAACATTAAGTTCCAGGGGACTCAGCTCTGCATTTAAGCACACAGGTACATCACTACTCTTCTGAGTGCTAACCTTGCTCAATACCTCGTGTATTAGAGCTAACCACTGCAGTGTGCTAGGAAGTGAAGTTTTTGCAGCACAGCATTTCCTGTCACACAGGGCCAATACTTTGATTTTTGCAGAGGATGGACAAAAGTCTATTTTCCAAAGTCTGTGGGCCTCCAAAAGAGAGCTCTGTGGACCTATGTTGCTCAGTGAGTCCAACAGCTTTAGCTGTGGTGCAAAACAGAAAATTCTGTATTCTCTTTCCAGTCCCCTGCTTTCTCCAACCCCGAATACCTGCAAGAAAAGAACTACCATTTCCATTAAGCTCCATATTCACTCTGCAGCCCGTGCGGAGCTTTAAACTTATCTATCCAACACCGCTTCTAGTTGGTTTTTGTGGAGATGAAGGGATAACTGAACAATTTGCAGAGGTGATGGTCATCACCCAGTATGTAGCCAGGGAATCACATATCCTTCCCTCTGTTCTTTACGACATCTTTGGATCACTAAGCAAATGCAAGAGCGCCTGTTTTTAGATCCACAGTCTGACAACACCTCTGCACAGATCTCTGTGCAGTCTTGTGTAAGAATTTCCCATCTCAGCAGGACGGGAACCTCAAGGCAAACTCAAATTTGCATTTTCCACAAACCTTATATAGCCCCATAAAGCAATGCACAGATCCCCAAAAGAAAGCCTGAATGAGGAAAATGAGTTAAACTGCCCTCCCCAGATAACATTTACAGATATAACAGTATGATTGTGTCCTTAGTTGAACAAAAAAGTCTAAAATAACGATGGTACTAGCATAGAACAAAAATGCATATACCTTAAATGCACTTACAGGGATGATTTTAAAGAATTTCAATCACCCAGATACACATTCATTTCACTACAAAAAAGGTTTAGGTAACTTTAAAAATCCCAACCGATAGTTACCATTAGGTAACCATTACCTTAACCATTAGGAGACTGCTTTCAAAATCTAGCCCAATATTCCATATACTCTTATCCAAATTATTCAAATTTTCACTTAAAAATTTTTTTTTTCCTTTTCTGTTAGAATTAATTGTTTGTACTAGCATTTGCACTTAGGCAAGACAAAAATGCAAGCAGGATCCATCATGATGGAACAGAATTCCAAACAGCAAATAACGCTAGACTGTCAAACTTGATGTCTCTTTCTCCTTTGGTCTCATAAATCATAAGATAAATGGCACACTTTCAAATAATACAATGACACGATTTTAATTTTAGTGTTACTCATACATGTTCATTAAATCAAGTACTGACTACTAACTTCAACGTTGTAATATGTAACAATTACTTTTGAAGGAACAGAAAACAGAAAAGAGTGCTATATTATTTCAGAATCTTAACTAAAAAGAAAAGAACGACAACAAACAAGCAGTATATTAACATAGTAGTAGGTGAGCGTAGGAAGACTTATGAAAGCAGAACAAGGTAGTGTCCTGGCTTTCCCTTGCTTTGCCAACGTTCTAACTGCCGAAAGCGGGGAAAAGAAGTCTCCCTCAGAACGATTTGTGTGTTGAACAATATCGCATTTTACAGGATAGAGCTATAACTCACAAGCAAAGAAAAGGATGCAAGTTGTAAGAAAGTGAATAACTTGTGATGCAGACAGTGCAAAATCGAAAAAATACTGAAAGATAATTGTCTGAACGTATTCAAGTGAATAAAAATAGAAAGGATGTTTTTCTATCTGTCCCTCATGATCACAAATTCACGCAGGAAATTAATTTTAAAGCAGCATTCATAAAAAATGTAGTTTTTTTCATTTGCATACCATATTTCTTGATAGGAGTGCTTGCACACTCTTATGATCTTAGAGGAAAAAATAAGAAAAAAAAAATCTGTCAATCATAACTTACCAATCCCTATCACATAAAAAATGCCAAGCGCTAAAAGAAAAAATATTCTTGATCAGCACATTATGTGAAGAATGAAGGGAGGAAAAAAAAATCACAAAAAAATAATTTTTAAAAATGAATACATTAAAAAATTGTGCAGTCTGCCTGAAAAACACCTCAAGTAGAAAGAGGCTAAACCAGATGGATAAGTCATGTGTTACAAATCATTGGCTCAAGTGTATAAAGCAAATACTCACTCTACTTATCAATGTCCTCTCACAGTAAAAGTGAAAGCCTGAATGACTATCAAACAAAGAAAGCTAAACCAGGGGCATCTTAGGAAATTAGTGCAATCAGTCAGCCTTTTCCTACTGTTGTTTGAGATGCTCTTGTGTTTCATCATAAAAACAGCTTGCTACCTTTCTTTGTAACATTTTTAGCATTAGTGAATATTAATGTTTATTTGGGCTGTCACTCATTATTACTTTATTTGATCAACTTCAGATTATGAGCTAGACCAGCCTTTTTGCAATCATCTAAAAGACACTGGATTCTCTTAGAAACATTCTTAGTAAGGTGAAGATGGGAAAATACTGTATTTATGATGAAATATTTTTACTAGCTTTGTATAGAAGACCTAAAAAAAGGAC